GTTCTGCTTTTTTTATATTTAATTGGTGCATTTTAAGTATTTATTTAGTGGTTGATATAATTCTGCTTTTATTTCTAATTATGTCGGTTTTGGTCCTCCGTACTGCAGAACTTGGAAGAGGTAGTTCAGTGACTGAATCAGGTGTGTTGAAGCAGGAAAAATATAAAACATGTAGGGCTGCGGCCCTCCAGGACCATGACTGCCCACCCCTGATATAGATCTTTAAACTCACTGAGCAGAGAGCCCAATAAATTAAGGATTTTTGCAATAATCAATGAGATTACATTTGACAAAAAAGGCTACAACTCTGTTAATCTCATCATAAGAAGATCTAAATCGGACACTCTGACATAATGAACGACATGCATTATTTTAAGGAACCTGTGAAGATGTAACATGCAGTGAGTCACAGCTGAGCTCACAAAGCTGCTGCTCATTTCCTGACTTAAATGCACACAAGTGATTCACAACTTCAAGTTGGAGCTGAAAATATGTTCATAAAAACATGTTTATTCAAGTATTTAACACGTGCCGAGAACGACTCGTAAACATGGTGTGTAGCAGCGTAACGTGCTTACATTATTTGCAGTTTTCAAGCAGTGTAAAGACACTCACTATATTTTTCCATTCACTTTTTTCCCCAATAATATTTACTGAATGCAGTCAGAGTCTGTGGGTGAGTGTGTGTTTTATGATGGTGGTCTTACTCTGGGTTGCCTTTGCCCAAACAGCGAAGAGAAAACTTCTGGCCCTCTATAGGCATCATCTCGTCAGGACTGATATAAACCTCGGGGGGATCTGTGAAAAGACCCAGACAAGTTGCAGTTACGGCACACAAATTATAACCACACAGACGGTCTCATTCACCCGTATCTCCATCTCCATCATGTGAATTCTGTCTCTGCCTCCCACTATGACATAACCCCCTTACACAATCTGCTTCCCTCTGTCATACAGTACCAGCTCTCTGTCCGCAGGGGGCAGCACTGGCCCAGACTCTAAACTGAGTTTATGGTTTCATTTTAGCTGGGAAGTGATTCAACTCTGGCCGAGTGCAACGACAGAGAAAGGTGAAAGTCCTGTGGGGTCATTATTACAGATTGGTGCAGCTGGATTTATAGGACCGAACTACAAGAGAGAACGTTCTCACACTGACCAATAAAGAGAAGGTCAAGGAGAAAATTACAGAAGGAGGAAGCTTTGAGCTTTAATTTCCCTTCCCTCTTCCTCCAGCGCCTGCTGTATTTTCCTCCTCCCTCACCCGCCCGCCGCTATCCCTCATTTCCCCGGTGACTCACACAACACCCGCAGGGGCTGCTCGCTCCGCTTGTCCCCCGGGGCCAGAGAGGGGTGGTCGACCGCACAGGTGATGGGCACGTTGTCGTCGCTGGCGCTCACCTCCAGGGTGAGCTCACGGCTCACGTTGTACGTGGGGTCGTCTGGAACGGACTCGACCACATCTGGACGCCCTGAGATGAAAAAGACGAGGAGAGGTGAGGCGAGGCAGGAGGAAGTGTTTGCATCTTAATCAGAGTCTCGTACACAAAAAATACAGACGAGGAAAAAATCTTTGCTGGAACAGGAAGGTGTGAATTTGTCTGAAATGTTTTGGTTGATTTTTACTAAACAGAAGTGACCCACATTACTCATCATCTGCTGTCTAAGGCTACGTTCACACTGCAGGTCTTAATGCTCAGTTCTGATTTGTTGAAAAAATCCGATCTTTTTGTGTGAACGTTCACATTACATTTTAAATGTGACCTGCATCAGACCCCTGTGTGAACGCTACACAGCACTGATGTGACACGCATGCGCAGTAAAAGACGTGACGTCTCATCAGCCGGCTTGTTTGTTTACAGAGCTAGCATGGATGCTACATATTACACATCGAATTGGAAGTTGTTATTTAATCAGTCGATTAAATAATTATCTGACCTGCTTCTTTAGTTCAGTGTTTATGTCTGAACCCTGCCTCTGACCRGGATGCTCCAGTGAAGCTTTTTTTTTTTTTGAACGAAACTACGAGCTGGAAAAAAGTATCGACCGAGTAGCTAACTTTAGGATCGATACTCTCCGTGACCCAGGCTGGACATCGTTATTATCATACTTGCGTGGCAAATTAAAAAGATGAAGCAACTGGACTTGTGTTTTGGAGCTGTAAACACACGGAGCTACAGATTTAAACAGCGAGACTTGAGGTTAGTGTCTTATCGATCCTTCACCCCCTCCTCCTGATGAAAAAGTCAGATGAATGTGACATGAGCGTTCACACTGCAGTCACTTTGAAAACATCAGATATGTATCTGATTTAAAACCACGTACTGAAACGGCCTGGGTCGGATTTGAAAAAATCGGATTTGTCTCGTTCAGACTGTCATAAAAAAATCGGATACGAGTCAGATGGGTCAAAAAAATCGGATTTGGGTCGGATTTGCCTGCAGTGTGAACGTATCCAGAGACAAAAAGGGTTGACAACACTTTATTGAACCATTTCTGCAATTAGCATGGCCCTGTAAGTGTTTCTTTTCTTTTCTTTTGAAACTAAATGTAGCAATAAATATTTTCAGCATTACTTTTAAAAACACTCTTAACTAGAGAATTTGCATTTACTTTGAAAACGCAGTGTGAGTACTTGGTGCTAAAAGATTCAAAGAAAAATTCTCATTTTGTCCTAAAACAGCCAAAAAGCTAAAAATAGCACAAAGGTAGATAAAAAGTTGTAGAACCGTTGAATAGCAAAGATGCAGAAAGAGCACCTACTGTATTTCCTGAATTAAGCAGCTGAAATGATTACAAAAATGTGAATCGGGCTCAAAAATGCTAAAATTAGCTGAAAATAGCAAACAAGTAGCAGACAAACTAAAGAATTTGCATTTTCTGTGAAAATGCAGTGTGAATACTTTGTGATTTATTTTTTTTTTCTTTCAGCACTATTTATTTGTTGTAAAACAGCCAGAAAAGCTAAAAAAAATAGCTAAATAGTAGATGGGAATTCAAATCTAGCTAAGAAGTAGAAAGGGCTCGTATAWCCTGAATTAAGTAGCTAAAATTATCACAAAAAGTGAATTTGGCTGAAAAATGCTAACATTAGCTGAAAATAGCAAAATAATTTGCTGAAACTGCAGAAAATGGCTGAAACAAGCAAAAAAATCTTAAATTAACAGTAAGAAGCTGATAGAAGCACAAAAATATATTAACAGAATAGCTGAAAAGAGGTGAAGGATAGCAGAAAAAGAAGAAAAAAGGCTAATGTTAGCAAAAAAGAAGCTGAAAGAAGCTAAAATGGGCACAAAAAGTTTAAAAGCAGATTCAGTGCAAAAGGTGTAAAGTTCCAGAAAGATTGAACTAATCTATTTTTTGAATGCGAACAAAAATGGCCAAAAAAGCTTATTTTAAAAAGCAAAAATACTGTGTTTACATGTGTATACATGTACACATATTGCATTGAGGCAACTGTGACTTTAATGATGTTATGTCATTATATTATGTCAGGTTATGACAAACAGTGTTATAACGAGTGATCATTAATAATAGAGGCATCTATACAAAATATGTGTGCATGGAGGTGGGAGTAAATAAACTCGTCTTCATCCCACTGCTTTTCAAGTTATATTGTATTCTTTAGTAGATTGAGTGTATTAGTTATTATTTGGTTTCCATTCTTTTATCCTATTCAAATCTAACGTGATTAATGTATACAGTATAATATTGTTCTGACTGACGAAACCAACCAACCAACCAACCAACCAACCAACCAACCAACCAATCAACCAACCAACCAACCAATCAACCAACCAACCAACCAACCAACCAACCAACATCAGGACTGTCTTAAAGAAGCTGAACTTTAAAATATATGAATTGTTGAAACAGCACAAAAAGTGTGAAACAAGATACACGTCGATAAATGTAAGAAAAAAAAAGATCTCAATAGAGTGAATTCTTTCTAACTTTCACAGTAAACTCTTACAAAAATACTGTTTTAAAACTCTAACAAATTACTTTGAATGCAAACCTAAAATCAACACGTGCTTCTTTGTTTGAAGGGTATCTTGCTTACTTTACTGAAGCATAGCCGTTGGACGATTTGAAGAAAATTACATGGCAACACTCTTTACAGCTGATCTACATTTAAACCCATTCATTAAGCTTCATTATTTCACCAAGTTACCGGAGTATCAGTGAAGCAATCGGTAGACGACATCTTCTATAGAAAACAAAGAAAGGCATTGTTCGTTTTCCAGCAAACAAAAATAATAATCCTGTGATCCAAGTAATTTCAGGCCTAATTTTGGTCCGTTTGAACTGTCTGTAGAGTTTATCTACGTACCGCTCACACAGAACACGGCCTGCTCGAATACTTGAGCCACAAATTTCAATTTCATTCAACAGTCTTGTTTCATGTTCCAATATCCTTGTTCATTAGAGAAGAGAAAGGGATCAGCAAGCTGTAAATAAAGTCCACATTTCACCCAGCTCCATCATGCAAATGTATCATTACCCAGAACCCCTCCGTTATGAAACGTCAGTAAAACGCAAAACGGTCCACTCATGTTTACCAACGAGGTCCGTGTCCTCCTGAAGGACACCAAAAGGACAAGAAATTTCAAAAGTCCAAAGCTTTCTTTGGATTYGCTCGCTCACCGTTGCTTAGGAGACCGCTCGCATTTCTCTTGATTATGATCCATCGCTTTGGACGGGGGGCTGCTACGCTTATGATAAAAGGAATCGGCAGCATCTCAGCCGCAATCTATCAAAGCCACATTTGATTGAAGCTGATTTATGCTACATGTGTCTTTTCATTTGCTGTTATTTCCTCCTTTTTWAAATCTTTGGATGTTTCCTGAGATGACGGTAAACAGCAGGAAATAAACTGTGACGTGGCAGAAGCATAAAAAAAAGCGTAAACAGAGCTGAGGCTGCGATGATGTAAAGATTGCCCTGTGTTGTGGGAAGAAACACAAAAGCGGGCGGTTTTGGTTCATGGCGTGAAAGTGGTCGGTGAATCTTGGAGAGTGGACCAGAACCTTAGCACTTACTCCTTGCATGGCTGACAAACACGCTCACACGTGCACACAAGTTCGGGCGCATGTAGGTCAAGCTCATGAATAACTATCCTCAGAGGAGGCTGAGATAGTGGCAAGGAGGCAGACTGAAAAACACACACACACTCGTAACACACACCTTTTTTTCCTTATTGTCTCGATCTTTCTCTCAAACACAGAGTTGCTTCCCTCTGCTTCCTTCGACACCAGAGAGTACTTCAAATACCTCTGAATCTAATGACATCTCTCTTTTTATTACCATAACCAGTCCTCTGACCCACTGAGGAAATTAGTTTACTTTCCAGGTGCGTTTCAATAATCTTAACGCCAGTCACAGGAGTCTTTTTGCCACTGCCTGTCTCTCTCCACACACACAAAGACAGCATCCTGACTTTATTAACGACCACAGGTTCTCCAGAACCTACCGAGGGAATGGAGAAATTCAGTTTGTTTACTCACAGCCTCCTGCGTACGACACTTTTGGAAATCACACAGTTGAGTTTTAATAAGGTTTTTGGGCCCAAAGGGTCATGAAATTGATTCAGTGCATTCGTTAAGGAGTGTTTTGAAACAATACATTTGATTTTTTTCTTTTGCTTGTCTATTTCCACGACATCACTGACAAGCATTTCTTTCATAATTTATATTTTCTCTGTTTATCGTCAAAATTTCAGAGTAAATTTAATAGTACAATATAAAAAAATGAGGCTAAAAGTAAGAAGTGACAGATACTTTTTGGAATTGAAGTGATGTCTTGATTCATCTCATCCAGGTAGAAAAATGTAAAAAAAAAATGGGTTTTTTTAGATTACAAAAAGATATTTAAATCATTCATTAGAGGAAAATCTGGTGCTTATGTTGTTTTACAGCAACTGATAGATTTTTTTTATTTATAAAGTTTATTCATTTAAAACAAAACAACATAAACTCAACATACAAAAAAACCAAATCAAATTAAATGAAAGGTAACAGAAGAAGAAAAAATCTTATGATTTCTGCCCCTTTTTCTCAAATGAATAAATTCAATCAAAAAAGCTTCGATTTACAATGTAAATTATTTTTTAAAGAAGATCAATAAAGGTTTAATTCCTTCTTGAGTAACAATTCGTGCCTCATACTCATTCATATTTCTCCAACAGATTTATCTTCATCATTTTCTTAAATATACACATTGATATGGCATTTTAACGCCATCTTCCAGATTATTCCATAAATTTTAAATCCATTTTAAAGGGGGGCAAGGCGTATCATGTATTTTCCAGGAACATAGTTCAATTCTATACCACAGTCTAGTAACTGTTACCTTCAGTTCTGTTTATATCAAAATAAATTAGATTTTCCATCATAGCCCAGCTAAACGCCATCAAATTGGCCCCTGTCACTTTAAGAACCTCCTACCATTACTGACACTCTCACTTCAGCAA